GCCACCTGTGAGCACATTTCTGTGCTTTCTGGCCTTGCTGAGTGGGGCTCCTCCTTTGCAGCCCCCTCGGGTCAAAAGAACACGGCCCTCGTGGTCACTGCGGCCCCATCGGGTGGGCGACCGTACGGGTCACAACAGAACTAAGCACTGTGCGGTCAGTCCTGCACAGTCCTCACCACTGTCCCTGAGCCTGAGCCCATGGAGGCAGCCACTGCGTCCGTCCGTCCGTCCATCTCACCGAGGGCCGTCCTCTCTCCCTCCACTTGGCCCCTTGTTCAGGGCCACCAGGCTGTCTGACAGCAGTGGCTCTCCTGACTCGGCAGTCACAGGGCCTGCGTGGAGGCTGAGAGAAGGTGGCAGAGGGTCAGCAGCAGGGGGAGGGACTGGAAGATGCTGCCCCCCTCCCCAGGCTTTGCACAGAGGAGGGACCACTCTGGGGTCAAGGACTGTGGGTGGCCACTTGCTGAAAGACCCCAGGGCTGCTGCCAGCGTGTCGACCCGACTCGTGGTGAGTCCATGGGGCAGGGCAGAACGGCCCGGTGGGTTTCCAAGCCGGGGGATGTTTATTGGGGGCAGAAAGTCTCTGCGTTCGCCTGTGGAGTGTCCAGTGGTTTCAAACTGAGGGGCTCGGGGTTAGCAGCTCGGCTCGTGACCCACCAGGGCGTCCACCTGGACCCTCCCCAGAGACTCAGGGAGGAACCAGCCCTGTTGACCTCAATCCAGCGAGACCCCTGCTGGGCGATGGCCAAAGCAGGCAGACCCACGGAGACAGGGAGTGCATGGGTGGCCACGCGTGGGGCTGCCAACCGCAAGGGCAGCAGTCTGAAACCCCCAGAGAGCGTCCAGGGGTGCAGTTCTACCATAGCAGGAGGCTGGGAGCAGCCCAGGTGCCCCTCAGTGGAGGAATGGGTGAAGAACCTCGCACCGTGGGGGCTACACGTCCCTAACGACAGCGCTGAGACCACGCAGCCAGCGCCTCAATGCACGGAGGCTGGGGGAAGTGAGTCCGTCAGAAAAGGGCAC